GACCTAGAGGCTGAGGGAAACAGGGACTGTGCCTTTAAAACCGTGCCTCACACTCCACATGGGGAGTAGGCACTACGCTGGCCACGCTGGCCACACGTGCCCACCCCGCTCCTCCCCTGTCTCCCTGTTCCAGCTAATTCCGGGATGTGAAAGAGATGCGAGGCATTAAGGGGTTTCAAACCCAGAGAGAGACCTTGATGATGCTAAATAAATCCAAATGCTGCTGATGAATTGAATTTCTAGCATGCCAACAAAGGCCCTGCCCTCCTCCCCCCAAACACCCAGCACCCCCTTGTTAACCTTATTGGCTAAGTCAGTTGCCATGGAAACTGTCAAGTTCAAAGGAATACTATAGTATATTCACCCCGCCTTTCCTCTCTGTTCCCAGGTAGCCCTTTGGAGCTGAGCTAGAGGTTCTGAGTGTTAAGGGAGCTCCAGGTGCTCTAGTTAAGCGTTCATCCATTCATTAATCCTCTCTCACCATCCCACCACTGCCCCTCTCTCTCTCCCCTTCTCCCTGCAGGCCAGCCAGCTGGGCGTGTACAAAGCGTTTGTGGATAACTATAAAGTCGCTCTGGAGACAGCTGAGAAGTGCAGCCAGTCCAACAACCAATTTCAGAAGATCTCTGAGGTGGGCATCTCCCTGCACAGCCACCCCTATGACTCAGGGCTTTGGGGGCTTCTCAGAGCCTTCCAGCCATTAGGCCTCTCCTTTCGTCCTTGCCAGTTAGGAAACTGGTTCCTGTGATGGGTAACAGCCTGACATTTGCTTTCTTGCACTTGACATTTTCCCTTTTAATGTAAGAACACCAATTTGTTTGATTTTTGTCCTTCTGTTTTAGGTTATTCTGTGTTAGAACAGGGGAGGCAAAAAAAAAAAAGGCAGTATTTCCCACACTATGGTGACCTTGAACAAGTCACTTCCCTTCTGTTGGCCTTTGTTTCTATAGAACGAGATATCCAGATTCCTCCATCTCATCCCAGACTTACTTGATAAGAACTACCAGGGACACTGTTTAAAATGCAGATCTTCAGGTACCTTCCCTGGAACTTCCATTTCAGAAGGTTTGGGGCAGGGCTCAGGAGTCTATATTTTTAAACAAGCTTCCTGGGTAAGTTTTATGATCAGGAAGATTGGAGGACATCTGGGCTAGGGGGTCTTTTCAGATCCTTGCAATCCCACAGAGAACACAAGGGCCGCTGATGTGAAGTGGAAGCCAACAGACCCTCTGGCTGGAAATATGCCTGTGGCTGCAGCTAAACCTTCCCTCCATGCTCCTCTGCAGGGCATTGTCTGCTGTCGACACTTCTGTGTGTCCCTGAAGTGGCAGGACGGGGTGCTAGGATCCTTCAGGAGCACAGCCCACCTCACCCCTTGAGCCAGAACGACCTCAGTGAGCCCCCAAGCTGCTGGCCTTGTAGTCACAGCACCCAGCTCCAAGCTCAGGGCAAGAGAACCTCTGGTTCCAGGGTTGGGGAGCTCCTTCTGCAGTTTTGGAGGTCCTGCCTTACAGGTCCCTCTGGACCCTTTGCTTTTTTCATCTCAGTTCTGATGCTAGAAAAGTTGGCGAGATCCAGGGTAGTTTTCATGAAGCTGTTGGGGTTAGGGTTATACCCAAATTTGAAATCGGCCAGAGGTGACAATGTCAGCTTGATTACGAGTCAAAGCCAGATTGGCAAAACGTGGATCTGTAGCCACATTGGACTTGCTAACATTTCCACTCCACAATTAAACACATCTACTGGAGCCAAAGAGAGGAGGGCTGCACTCAGTTTCTTCCCCCAAACCCAGGGATCAGGTGAGTCACCCTCCTCCTCGGACAGACTGAGGGGTAGGGAAGTCCCTCGACGCAGAGTCATGAGGCTGGAGAAATGGTGCTTCCCCTCACAGCTCTCAGCCCTTCCCACCGAGAACACACTGGAGTCCCCTGATCTGTGTGGAGAGAGGCCCTGCAAGGCTGCCCAGGTACCCTCGGTCATGTATGGTCCAGAGAGCAGGGGTATCTTCTTAGCCTGGGCTAAGAAACCCAGCCTGACCAGAAACCCCTAAGCCCCTCTCAAAGTCTGCTGGCTCCAAGGATGGAGCCAGGCTTGTGGCCTGCTGCCAGGTGGCTTCTCACCCTGACTCATGCGCTGACGCTGTCACTTCCTACTGGCGCTGCCACTTAATTACTGCAATTAGGCCCTTCTCCTCTGCAGCAAGAGTGATTTCATACCTCTAGGCTGCCCTGAAGCGGGGCATGGAGAAAAATTTCATAAAGCTGGGAACTGGACACCAGCTACAGACACAGCCTTGAGATGAGTAACCCCTCCTTCACCCCACCCCCAAACCCCAGACTCAGTTCCTGGAGGTTTTCTCTGTCTAGAAATAGCTTGAGACAGGACCAGGAAAAGGGGAGCTCCCGCTGCCTGGGCATCTCCGCCCTCCCAGGCAGAGCAGGCAGCATCACCTGGGTATCTGACCTTGGCCTCACCTCGACCCCGCCTTCCTGCTGACATCCCCTTTGGAGCCCTGCTCCCTGCACATCACACTCCAAGTGGGGATTGCGTTACATCTCCAGTTACAGGCCATAGTGGTCCATTGGCAGGGGCTGGAGCTGGACCTCTCTAAAGGTAGATAATACAAGTTTGGATCAAATAAGCCACGCTGGAGTCCCGTTTCCCAGCACTCACTACCCAGTCATTTTGCCTGGGATCCAGGAAGACTGTTGCCTCTTTCTCCCTGGCAGTTTCCTCTCTGATGCCAGCACAGGGTGGGAAGTGTCAGGTGGGGCTGGGGGCTGGGTGAGTTCCTCCCCATAGGGGTGACATGGGTAGGATGTAGCTTAGACTGCCTGTGGAGCTCAGCCTCTCAGCCTCAGGTGCACCGCCTCCCTGCTTCCCCCTGTGCAGGTGTGTGGGACCCCTTACTCCTTATCTCAACATGCCCCTGCTGATGCCCCCAGGATCAGCTGCTACACCTGGCGCTTGTCCACTCAAGCCCTGTGTGCCCTGGGCTGATGTGTAGAGACCCCAGGTAGTGGCTGCAGTTGGGGGTCCTGCCCTTGCCACTGCTCAGTCTCTGGAAGGCCCTTAGAGGCGCCAGGGAGAGGCTTTAGGCCAGCGGTTCTCAACCTTCCTAATGCCGCGACCCCTTAATACAGTTCCTCATGTTGTGGTGACCCCCAACCATAAAATTATTTTCGTTGCTAC